CTTCTCTTCCTCTCTCTCTCTCTATCTACTTACTCTTCAGCTTCTTCCCCCCCGACGCGTGTCTTCTCGTCCTGCCGGGCTGTGCAAGTCTTAGAACGACACTCTCGGCGGTTAAATAGGGGAGGCCTCTCCTTTGGCCCGTGACGCCCTCAATACGCTGTAATACAGGCCTCTTTTGCAGTGACTTGGCATCTTGTTACAACATCAATACGAAATTTACCCCGCCTGAGACAAGCGCCAAGCCTGAAGACGCAGCAAAAAAGAAAAGAAAAGAGAAAAACGAACGTCGAACTTTTTGACGGACATTCATCAAAGACTTCAAAGCCTTCAACGATCTCGACTTCAGCTTCAGCTTCAGCTTCACCTTCTTCCTCACTCTTATTACTCTTCCTTCATCTTACTTCTCTTCTCTCTCTTTTCTCCCTCCTCGCCGTCGCCTCAACTTCTCCTACCGCACAATCTCGACTGCACGGAGACGCTCACTCGCTCGCTAGTCTCCTGCGCTCCCCGGCTGACGACGCATCTCTCGGCCGCCCCCAGACTCCACGATAGTCCAGACAGGAAGACGTAAAGACACAAAAGACATTGAGAAAGAAGACACAGACGGACGACAGCGATAGACACAAACAGACAGAGATACACAGTCACAGTCGCAGACACCAACACGGACACCGGATTGAAGTCTCGCTGGCCGACTTCGCAGGGGATGACGACGCCCAGCTGCTAAGACATCATCACCACCAGCCACACCACCGTCCAGACCTCAACCTCAAACCTCCAGCAAAGACAAGACACCCTCACACGACACACCAACACTCACGACAGACACCTGCCAAAATGCATCTAACGCCGTTACTCTCGTTCCTCTTCGCGCTGCTTTCATTATCCCGTCTCGCGGCGGGCCTCAAGCTCATCGAGTCCAAGTCCCTCACGCCCTGCACCAACACCGCTACCCAGAACAACGCCGACTTCACCGCATCCGAGTTCAACATCGCCTTCACCCCGGAGAACCGCACTCTGCGTGTCAACTTCCATGGCGTCTCCTCCATCAAGGGCTTCGTCAACGCCCGCATCGAGCTCTTCGCCTATGGCTACCCGGCCCTCGACCAGCGCTTTGATCCGTGCAAGTCCGGACTCGACCTCCAGGGCCTCTGTCCCATGACGGCCGGGCCCATCGACCTCATGACCGACTTTGTCGACGTCTCAGACGAGGTCATCAACAAAGTCCCTGGTTAGTCTTTTCTCAGCCTCTTCTTTTTTTTTTGTCCATTTGCTTCGTTCTAACAGACTGGCTACTAGGAATTGCGTATAATGTGCCCGATATTGACGCCAAGTTCCGGGCGTACATCTATGCTGCCGATTCTGGATCAACCATCGCCTGCTTCGAGGGACAGCTCTCCAACGCCAAAACAGTCTACCACAGAACTGTAGGATGGATCGTCGCCGTCATTGCTGGAATCGGCCTCATTGCCTCTGCCATCACCTCGGGTCTCGGCCACTCCAACACAGCCGCCCACGTAGCTGCCAATGCACTCTCGCTCTTCAGCTTCCTCCAGGCTCAGGCCATGATCGGTCTCACCTCCGTCACTTTACCACCCGTCGTCCAGGCTTGGACCCAGAACTTCCAGTGGAGCATGGGCATCATCCACGTCACCTTCATCCAGAACATCTGCACCTGGTACCAGCGCGCAACGGGCGGAACCCCAACTAACGTCCTCAACTCTCCCTCCACCACCTCTATCCAGATCAAGAAGCGCTCAATGGAGTACATGCGGAATGTTGTCTTTACCTATCCCAATGGCCTGACCAAGCGTGTCAACAACGAACCCACCGTCGGAGAAACTATCAACAACATCGTCCTGCGTGGCATCGAGAGAGTAGCCTACCGAGCCAAGATGGAAACCACAAACGTCTTCATGACCGGCCTGCTCTTCTTCGTCATCTTCGTCACCTTTGTCGTGCTCCTCGTTACCGCCTTCAAGGGCTTCTGTGAAATCGCCGCCAAGAAGGGCTGGATGAAGAGTGATAAGTTCCAGGACTTTAGGAATGGATGGAAGATTGTCATGCGCGGAATCCTCTTCAGACTGGTGCGTTCTTCTCTCTCTTTTCTTCGACATCTTTTCCCCAGATTTTGTGCTTGAATTGCATCTAACATGTATACAGACCTTGATTGGCTTCCCTCAGATGACAATTCTCTGTCTCTGGGAGTTCACCCAGGTCGACTCCCCAGCCATTGTCGTCCTGGCTGTCGTCATGTTGCTCTCCATCATCGGATCGCTCGGCTGGGCCGCCTTCAAAGTCATCAACCTCGCAAAGAAGTCCGTCCAGATGCACAAGAACCCAGCCTACATCCTCTACTCTGATCCATCCGCCCTCAACAAGTGGGGGTTCCTCTACGTCCAGTACCGCGCTACTGCTTACTACTGCGTCGTCCCGCTGCTCGCCTACATCCTCATCAAGTCCATGTTCATCGGCCTCGCCCAGAAGGCCCCCTACGTCCAGGCCATCTCCCTCCTCATCATCGAACTAGGCGTCCTCGTTGGTGTCTCCATCCTGCGGCCATGGATGGACAAGAAGACCAACATCTTCAACATCTCCATTGCTGCCGTCAACTTCTTCAACGTCATCCTCCTTCTCTTCTTTAGTGAAATCTTCAAGCTCCCAGTAAGTCTATTCTATCCTATAACCAAATCAATATAGCCACTAACGTCCCCAGGGCCTTGTCGTCGGAGTAATGGGCGTAGCTTTCTTCGTCATCAACGCAGTCTTCGCCCTCATCCTTCTCATTCTCGTCCTCATTGCGTCCGGATACGCCATTCTCTCCAAGAACCCCGACACCCGCTACCAACCCATGCGCGACGACCGCGGCTCTTTCATCAAATCCCACACACAACTCACCACCGAACTCGACGCCCTCGGCGCCACCGCCCGCGGAGAAGGCAAGTTCAACGAATTCGAGGACGACTCAACCTCCCTCTCAGGCCAATCCAACACCCGCACTCCCATCGACACCCACCACCCTGCAAACGACTCACACCGCCCAGGCCAGGGATACCCGAACCGCCCTGTTCACTCCCCCGTGGACCCATCAGTCCCTCTATTCCCATCAAGTGCATCAACGCACTCCGGACACTCACAAAGAACAAACATGCCCCCCGGATACCAACAGCCTGCCTTCCAGGATTCGGCATCCACACATTCCTCACCATACCGCCACCATCCTTCCCCCGCTCCAGGCGGGTATAATGCCTCTCCATACCCTCGCACAGGCTCAGCGAACCCCCACGCAGCCAGATCACAAAACAATGCTAGCCCATGGCAAAGGGGCGCCGGTTACGACTAAACGTTGCTTTTCATAGTTCTTTTCCTTTTTTTTTACTCCTTGTTACTGCTACTTGCTCTTTTCCACCATCCCACAGCTTACCAAGGCCTGGATTCTGTTTCATTCCCTCCCACTGCGTTCCATTTCATTCACCCCCTTTACCATTCAGTGTACAAATATTTCTCTTCTCCCCTTTTACTGCCCCCCTGCACACAACAACGGCCGGCAAATTACTCATGGAAACTATGGACTGGATTCATGGAGTTAGTTATCTTGTTTTGTTTTTGTACTCTTTTCTTCTCTTCTGGTTTGATACTACATAACCAAACCACAACCCCTTAGTTAGTCATCCTTCCCTTGTCTCTCTGCCTTCTATTGAACGGCCTTGCTATTTTCCTTGCGTTTTTCATTCCTCGAGTACTACGGGATATTACCTTGCCTGGTTCTGTTTTTTTTCCTCCCCACCTCTTGCCTGTCTTCCTATCTGTTTCATATGGGTCTCACTCACACTCACACTCTGCTTTGCTCATTTCCTTGCTGTTTTACTCATCGTCTGTTCTTTTAACATCGCATAGAGAATGATAAAAGACTACTTGATGTCTGTACACATATGTTACAGACACAGATGTTAAACTTCCTCACAGGTCTTTAAATGTAATCATTATACCCTTCTATTCCAAGCATATAGTTGCTCTCGACTGAAATCAAACTATTATACCGCTTTAGTAATCAAGGTATCCATGCTTTGGAATCATTGTGTAATCTATACCATTATTCAAACTACACTTGAAAAACACCAAGACACAATTCCTACTAAAACAAACGCTATAAACTACAAAAATACAAACAAGGAAAAACGCCAAGTCAATATCATTTCATTCACTTCGACTCACCCATCCCCGGCGGGAACCCTCCTGGCTGCTGCTGCTGCTGCTGCCCCATCCCAGGAGGCGGAGGCGGACTAGCGCTAGAACCAGGTGCTTGACCCGGGGCCTGGCCCGGGAAAGGTGGTAAGGGAGGCACACCGCCAGGCGCCCCTGGAGGCGGAAACTGGAAATTCGGCGGGAACCCACCTGGTGGAGGAGGTGGGAAGGGCAAACTACCAGGCGGCATATTCGGTAGGGGCATAGGAAGTGGGATTGGTTTGTCGTTGGGTCCCGGGGTGCCGGTTGGTGGGAAGGGGGGAGGGAAAGGCATGCCGCGGCCTCCTGGGGCTGTTGAGAGCAGTAGTTGGTTAGTTTTCTAGCTGGTTGCAGTTATAGTGTGTGGGCGTGGCCCTGGCCCTGGGCGGAGGATGCTTACGTGGTATCATTCCGCCAGGTGGTGGAGGTGCGCCTGGAGCTCCTTGCATGCCTGGTACGCCGAATGGTGGAGGAGGTAATGAGCCTGGCTGGCCTGTGGGGGGAGTGAGTTAAGTCAGCGTGCTCGTTTGGCTGGTGTAAGAAGTTACTTAAGATGTAGGGATTCTTACCTGGGAATCCAAACGGGAGAGGAGGGTATCCCGGTTGTCCGGCTGCGTGTTGCAGCATTGGATTGGAACTGGCCTGGCCCTCTGCGGCGTACGACGAGGTGATAGAATCTATCACCGACTGGGCCTTTTCATGTCCGATTTCTAAACGCAGAAAGTCAGTATCAATGGGTTTGCACAGGGTACGGCGCCGTGTAGAGTATTCTTAGCACGGGGTGACCTACCCTGGTAATATTGGACGACGTTTTTCAAATGGTTTTTGCCTGAGTTGTGAGCTTTTCGCACGCTCATCGAGTCGTGTGTGAGGTATACATCACAGTAATCGCCTGAGAGTCAATGGAGCCACAAGTTAGCATGAATTCATGCCACATCTTCTCCTCCACCAGTCAATATATATATATATATGGGTATAATGCCGTTGGCGAGAATTGTTTGCGCAAAGAAGTTGACCTACAAAAGAGTGCATGGGAGGTTAGCTTTGGTATTCAAAACAGAAGAATGGTCCAAGGGGAACTTATATTTCGGCATGATGACGGCTAGATAACTGCACTTCTCCTTGTTTATCCTCCCCGCGCTCAGCACTGCCTCTCAGTATGTGGAGGTAGCTCTCCCGTCGAGTTTCGACCTTCGGTTCCTTCGTCGTTCAACTGGTTTTGGGCTCAAATTTCGCGAGTCGCAACTTGGTTTGTGTGTGCGTCCGTGTAATTAGGCAGTAGCTGAATCTGTATCAAGCTATGGAATCGTCAAGCGCATAATGTTTCCGGCTCTCTTCACAACCAGGACTTCGTTATCATAAAATTGTTCGAAATATCCAGAACTTATCGCGCTCTCTGAATGCCCGTTCGGGACTAGCGTCTTAAAGCTTATTCATGTTTGCACTGTTTATTTTTAGTCGCTTAGTCATGGTTTGATGTCACGTGATGCATCCGCAATACAACAAAGTCTCCTCCGAAATTAATACTCCAACCACCACCTCTAGATCATTTATCTATCCCCCATTTATAAGCAGATCCCCAAAAAAAAAAATAAAATCACATCGCTGATGCTGTTAGATCCCTTTGCACTTTCACTTGGATCTTATTATACCCAGGTTTTGTCTGTCCGTTAAAACAATCTCGAACGATTGTCACGTTTTCTTCTGTCGTCTCGAATAGTGAAAGGTCAAATCGTCGGATAATGGTAGCCAGTCCGATGTAACACCAGGCGTAGGCCATACTACTCGTTGAATTAGCAGAAATGTCACTAGTAGGAGAAAATCAAACTTTCAGGGAAAGGCTCATACTTTGGGCCCAGGCATCCTTGACTACCCTTCGAGAAAGGCACATAGCATTCATCCATCTCCGACCGTTTAGGTCCATGCTGCATCCATCGCTCAGGGGAGAATGATAATGGCTCTGGGAAGACAGACGGGTCTCTCAATGTCAGATATATAGACATGCTAATCGGTGTCTATCGTATTGGTTATATCGTCAGCTTCAGAATCAAGCGAGGAAAAGGACAAAAGATGGGACTATGCCCCTGCTGGTATCTTCCAGTTACCGTACTCCAGAATCTTGTCTGGACTAATGCGTGGAAGCCGAGAAGTGACAAGTGCAGTTATGCGAAGTCCTTTTATGACTGCGGTCTATACCCTCTTGCGTGAGAAATTCTGTGTCCCACCAGAGACTGGACAAAAGATGCTGACTCACCAAGTACGGAATATTCTCAAGCATAGCTAAAGAAGGGTCAGACCGCGCATCGGGAAGAGCGTACACGAGTTCTTCCCGCAGTTTCTCATGTACTTTACGATTGTTTAGTATATGATACAATATGATAGCCAGGGCCTGCGAAGGAGCATCCGTTCCAGCTACCATAAGGAACAAAGCATCGTCTGTTAATCTCTTAAGGGTTCGTTCCGCGACTGGGTGCTTTTCATTATGCATGAGCTCGGAGAAAATACATGGTTCTGTGATTCCGTGTCGATTCGTCTCATAAACGTGCTTTATACGCTGCTTTACTGCTTAAAGATCCAACCGTTAGCAAAATCCGGGCCAAATAAACATTTGATATTGCAGCAGGTCGTACGCTTTCCATAAAGTCTATATGCCGGGTTGTCGGTACCACAAGTGAAGTTATCCGAACAGGGAGAGTGCGGAAAACGCGAATTAGAATGGGGAAGTGCCTGGTGAGAAGGAGCTTTCCAAACGCTCCAGTAACCCCATCTTTCCACTTGTCGTCCAGAACCTTCTCTTGAAGCACGTTAAAACATTTCGACTTTCCAAATGCGTACTGGGAAACAATATCCACTGCAAGAGATATGAAACATCGATGTAGCTCTAACGGCTCGTCATTCATCAATGCTTCCCTCATATGCCTGCAAAGCAAGTTGACTTTCTCTTGAATGACGGGCTCGAGGGTTCGAATAGCCGGTTTGGACAGATACGGACTGAGCATCCCCCTTCTCAATCGATGGTGGTTGTACCCAGCCGTTGAGAACAGTGAGTTTGGAGCTCCCGCAGACAGGAACCAAATATATTTATCCCGTTTCATAGTCGGCCCGGTGTAAATAGTGTTGTAGTAAATGGGATCTTTAACGTGAAGCTCATAAGGGTTAATTCGGACAATTGGCCCGTACTTTTCGTGCATTCTATCAATCTCCCACATGAACTGGCCGCCACGGATCACATCGAAGTACATTTCATACCATCGAGTCATGGCGGCCAGCTTGGGTCCTGGGAACTGGGATAGGGGAGAAAAATAAAGGCGGTATGTAACCAGGCATATTCCGTAAATAGCTGAAAAAATGAGGAGAACGAGGGAATAGTTAAGCGTTGTCATATGAACCAGCTCGGGGTATCTGGAATCCATCATCTTGAGTGTTTCGTCGTCTGATAGATTACTTGGAAGGTAAGAACAATTGGGGATTGACATTAAGCAGACTCAAGTAGTTACTGAAGGGTACTTATTCAAGATGTACTAATTGAATCGAAATTTTCAGTTAAAGTAGTCCATAGCCTTGCGGACTACCTAGCCGCCATGATGCCCAATCGTTGTCTATTTCCGTACAGCACGATAGAGGGTAATGGGCTTTTGATTCGCCGAGATATCGACTGGGTAAGGCGATATGATGGTGGCAAGGAGTTCAACTACTATACGAAGATAAGCGTAATTCTTTACGAAATATCAATTATGCATGAGTCGTGTACTGCACTCCATCTATGTGAGGATGACCGTGAAGATCAAGATACGGCGTAGTGATCCATGGTCCTCAGTTCCCAAGATAGAAGGTTCTTCCATCCATTGCATGTACTACAGAGCTTGGTATTTGCTCCAGTAGCCACGAGACAATCCACCTGGCACCCCGCTGCTCAACTGTTTAATATTAAAAAACCAGACAGAATTGAAACTTTGTTTAAGAGTTGGTGTAATCAATGTTAATATATTAATAACAGTCATGATTTAGCAAGAGGCTCCCTCAAAGCTGAGCCATCAAAGCGTCAAACTTCTTGTCAAACTCGTTCATTCCATCCCTGAACTCACTGAACCCTTCAGCTGAGCATTTCTTTTGGAGACT